GACGCTTGTGCATTATGACGCAAGCAATAACAGGAAAAAATTATCTAAATTAATTATTGGCTAAAATAATAATCAGTTTATTGATGATGATAAATAGCTGACGGCGGCTCAATTATTTGCACGTATCATTTTTTTCGTAAAACAAATATAGCCCGTATAAATAAAATATATATATAATATTATTTCTTTTTTACTATATTGATATTACCGGTACAATACATCGTTCTGTCTTTGTATCTGTATATTATTTTATATAATATCCCTATATTTTATTTTAATTGTGTTTAATCAATCTTGTTGCTCTCTTTCTCTTTTTATTCATCTTCTGTACTTATTTAGTATATGTATTCGTGGATAAATAAATATCTATATGCATTAATGCAATTTACTTATTTTACTTAAAATGTTCGACCTAAAAAATGTTCACCCCCACAAAATAGATAAAAAATGTTAAACAGGTGATTATTGTCAATATCCCTGCCAAAGTTTTTTTATCATTATACCCGAGAAAAAATGGACTTACGTAATTATATAACATTATATTCTTTTTTTCACCATATTTAATTTATATTTGAAATTTGGCGCGATTGCACTATAATTATATATGTCTAAATATGATCTTATATCAATTTTTCTCGAGTATTTAAATAGCATTAACTTATATATAGGTGTTTATTTAGCCTTACAAAATTAATTTACTTCTTTTTATTTACCATAGGCAAGATTTGACCATAGGTAAGATTTCAGTGACGTAATATTTGAAAATATATACAGAAGATGAACAGAGAGGGGGGGGGGAGGAAGAGAGAGAGAAGAAAAAAACAATAAATCTAAAATATTCGGTTTATTTATAGTACATCCTCGCGCATCCTATATATTCGATATCTGTTAATATTTGTTATTATGCAATATATTTCTCTCTCGTTACTCTTTTTCATGTAAATACTTAAACACAGAGTTTTTCGTAACTTTGTTGTCGGTTCAAATTTCGTCCTTTAATTTACGCATACGTGACGAAAGTCTGTTTGCCTAATCTATTGCTTCCCGTCACACTTTCTAGAGAACACAAACTAGTGACGTACGTGCCATCGAAGTTATGCATGAAGAATATACGTATGCGTACATAATCGAGTCGGTGAGTCGCGTAATAATAGATGTGATACGTTCAACGAAATTTCTATTGTTAGTTGACGCGTGACCCGGCTCACGTCTAGAATCGGTCATTACATTCATTTATGAAATATCACGATAATTGCAAAGCTGCGAAATAATTCAAGTACGACCCCGCTGAAAATTTTTTTATTATTTTTTTATTATTAATTAAATTCGTTATTTCGTATGAAATATCAGGGAAGAAACGAATTATACAGGGTAGGCCATTTTAATGTATCCACTGAAATATCTTAAAATCTATAAGTTTAAGACAAAAATGTTTTAGACAAAAGTTGTATGATTCACAGGGGGACACATGATGAAAATATGGACTTGACCTTGAATGACCTTTTCAAGACCAAGTAAATGTGATCGATGTTTTCCTAAATGGAACCCCCCATTTTTTATTGCATATTCTTGTAGCTTATCTCGAAAGCTTTTCAAAACACTATAATAAAGTATTTTTTCATTAAGTACTTTTTGAGTTATTTTATATTTTAATCTGACATATTTTGATATAAAAAATAAAATATCTCGTAAAATATTTAGTTTT